TCACCGACGGTGATCCATGCCCGACTCCTCGGGCGAGGGCAGCGGCATTGGATCGCCACGCCGCCCCTCCCCGGGAAGTGGGGCCAGCTCTCTTCGGTCGAGGACTCGCGCCCGCCCCTGCGGTCTCTCTATCGTCCTCGGCTCGTCCGTACGTCCCGACTCTACTCGCAGAGGCCGCGTCAGGTCATCTCTCGCCTCCTCCGACAGTTGACCCCAAGCCCCCCCCGGGGCCCTCCGGCCTCGGCTTTCCGGTTCGCCGGCGGGTCCGCTCTCGTACCGCGGTAATTCCCCTCCCCCATCTCCTCCTCCCGGGTACACCAGCCTCCGGCGGGGCGGTCCCGGGTCCCCCAGGTTATTCCGAGCGGGTCCATACGGTGGCGGCCCCGTCGGCGGCGGGGGTGGAGGCGGTGGCAGGGGCGGCGGGTGCGGTGGCGGCCCTCGCGGCCCAAAGGCCTGGTGCGGAGCCGCTGGGGCGGCCCCACGACCCTGCAACCGTTCCAGTGGCGGGGGCGGAAGTGGCAGTGCGAGTGGCGGGAACGATGGCGGCACTGGCGGCCGCACCGCCTGGTGTGGACCCTCAGGGGCGGCTCCTCGACCCAGCAGTCGCTCCAGCTGCGGGGGCGGAGGTGGTGGTGGCGGGGGCGGGCCCGGTGGCGGTGCCGGCCGCCGCGCCTCCTGGGGCGGGGCCTCGGGGGATGCCCCCTGCCTCTGCGGCCGTTCCAGCCGTGGTTCTACGCGTCGGCCGTCCACCCCGCTCGTGGGGGGGGGCCTAGCTCTCGCCTCCCCTCGGGAGGGGGGGGGGGCAGGGCCCAGACGTGCTTGTTGTTGGATGGGTTGGGAGCGAGGGGGCGGAAGTGGCCAGCGCGGTAGATGGTACGCTTGAGGCGCGTGAGCCGGACTTGTGAGCCATCCGGCTTACATTTACCCTGCCTGCGTTCTCGCACATGGAGTGCGAGATACTCGACTTTCCGCCCGCCCCAACCAAGCTGTCACTCCCCTTTCTCCCGGGGGCCGGGGTGGGCGCGCGCGGGGGCGGCGGGTGTGCGGGATGTCTGTGGGCCCGAGAGCGATATGCCATGTCCGCCTTGCTTTGTTCCTAACAACACGAAGCTGAGCTCAAAAAGAAAACAACAAGCCTGTCTCACCTGCCTGCCAACCGGTTGGCTCAAACGCGAAGGCTCCTCCTCCTCCGCCGCTGCCGCCGCCGCCGCCGCCGCTTGTCTCCCCAATGCACATCGTGGAGATCGTCCTCGACGGCTTCAAGTCGTACGCGACGCGCACCGTCATCACCGACTTTGACCCGCAGTTCAACGCCATCACAGGCCTCAACGGCTCGGGAAAGTCCAACGTGCTCGACTCGATCTGCTTTGTGCTCGGCATCTCCAACCTGTCGCAGGCGCGCCACGCACCCTCAGCGAGCGCGCGCTGCAACGCCCATCTGCGGTCGCGCGGAGCGCTGGGCGACGCCCGACTCACACCGGCGCGCTGTGCCGCCTCGCTCGCAGGTGCGCGCGAGCAACCTCAACGAGCTCATCTACAAGCAGGGACAGGCCGGCGTCACCAAGGCCAGCGTGACGCTCGTCTTTGACAACTCGAACCGAGAGCTGTCTCCCCACGGCCTACGATCCACTACGAGGAGGATATCCGTCGCCGGCGAAGTGCTGCTCTGACCGCTCCGCCGGGCCGCCTCCGGGCCGCCGCCGCGGAGACGTGCACATAGGCAAGTTGGTATTTTCATATATGAACTTAAAAATAGTATTGGCTAGGCTAATCCTACTCATCACAACTCGCCAGGAACACCCCCACACTATAGGGACATTGTGTAGCCCTGCTTAGAAGGAAAAGGTTTACTGCAAGGTCCGTATGGCTCACCGTGTAGTCGGCCGATCTTCAGATATTTTGACGGATGACCGAAATTGGGCAAAAACGGGGTTATTTTGGTGCACAGCTTCTCGCAACTCCACAACGCCACTTTGGGACATCGTCATCGACGACACACCCCCTCTCGAATATTTCTCAGTACTCCGATTTATTCGTTGTGCGTGCTGCGTGGCGCGCGCCACAGAGCACGCGCCTGCCTGCTGCTGCACGGCGTGCGTCGCCAAAGTCCGTGTACGCGGCCGAGTCGTGCTCGATGCCGAAGCCGAGCTCCTGCCTCATGCGGCGGGGGGCGCCGGGCGGCCCCGCCTTGAGGAGCAGCGCGGGCTGCGTCCGGTACATCCGCTGCAGGATGAGCATCTTGTGGTGCACGTCGAACGTGTCCGACTCGAGGTCGGCGCAGTCCTAATGAGGCGACGACGGCCTAGAGTCGGGGGTGAGTCAAGAGTGTCCGACTCTCGGTCAGCGCGGGCCTCGAAGAGGAGCTGCCGCTCTCCGGCCGAGAGGAGGACGCGGTGCCGCCGCACCGTCTGGCGCATCGCG